GAGTATTGCGCGATACTCCTCTCTTTTTTCTTTCTGCTTCTAAGTCAATTTCTTCTTCAATGTCTGTCATGTCGTCGTCCTCTTCATCGTTGTAGGCCTCTCCAGAAGTCTGGCCTTCTTCACATACCAGCACGCAGGCTTCTCCTTCGTTATCCTCCTTCTCTTCTTCCTTTTCTTTATTCTTGAATTCATTGGCCAGTAGGTAATTATTGGCCACAACAGGAGGTAATGTACCGAATTGGATAGCAAAGGGCTGATCTAGATCTTCTTCATCCCTTTTGTCTCGCTCGAACCTTGATATCCCAGAAGAGATTTCTGACAGTTCCTTCATTGATTCATCTATACCAGTCTCTTTACTACCTTTGAGGACGTTTTTATTGGCTACCTTGAGTAGTTTAGGCGCTTTAGGATGTGGCACTCTCTGTTGCTGCCTCATCATCCGTCCGTAGTTTCGTTGGAAACGTCTTTGTTGTGTCCTAGTCATCTCATCAAAGGGTATTGCCCTTCCTGCATTGTACTGGAATGAATGCCATACATTTGGCCGGCGAGGTTGCAGCCTGAATGTTCTTCCATTCTCTGCTGGCCTAAACTGCCTCTCAAAAGGCGGTCCTCTATAGAATGATGTACCTAGCCCTCTACCAGGCTGAGTGTTTGGAAAGAAGGTAGGGCGATAAGGATGCTGCCGTGTCCCTGATTTCTCCGTATTTCCATTCACTTCTCTTTTACATCTTGCACACAGGACGTCTTCGTCCTTTTTTGGTTCTTTCCCCTTGATTCGTTCGAAGACACTGGGATGTGTTTTGGTATCCTCTTCTCCATCATCTATGACCAACTTGAATTTTGGTAACTTGTTTTTGAATCCAGATGTCACCATGTTTACTCCAAGTGGCTGTGGGAAAAGATTCTCCTCTACTGCCATCTTTTTCTTATCATCGAACGTAATTCGTCCTGATTCAATGGCATCTTGCAATACATGACGGAAAACCAAGCAATTATTAGTTAAATGTGACCATGCATTATGCTATTTACAATATTTTTTACCCTTAATTTGTTCAGGGTTTGGCAATTTGTGCTTATCGCTCAATTTTATCTGCTTATTCCTATATAATTTATCGAATATAAGGTCAGCTTTGATCACGTCGAACGAGAACGTTCTAGCCTTTATGTTTTCATCTTTTATGGGCTCATCTTTGCCCAATGGTCTAGGCTTGGCCATTATGGGACAAGTATATGTATCCCCTTTGACCAATTCGGCCAAACACATTTCGGCCTGATCGTATAACTCGTCGTCGATGGTATGAACGTCAAAATTTGGGTCTTTGTAATAAGTCCCTTTACTAGAATTTTTCATTTGTTCTTCCTCTCTTATCAGTCGTTCATACCTAATCACATTCGCACTTAACTGGAAAAGGTCAGGAAATTCTTTGTCTTGGAACTTCTTTTTTAAATCAAAGCTCAAGCAGCCCTGAGCGATCTTGACAAATTCTTTTTCGGGCAGAGGTACAAAACACTTGCTTCTTGTCATCTTGAACCTTTGGAGAAAACTTTCTGCCCATTCGTTTGGCATTTGACGTAGATTCGCCAAATCAGCCAAAGTGACTTCAAACTCAGTTTTATAAAACTGAGCGTGAAACAACTGTTCCAGTTGTTGCCATGTTTGAACAGAGTTCGCTGGCAAGTTGATGAACCAGGAGAAAGCTACTCCTGTTAACGAATTAGGGAAAAGTCTCATTTTATGGTAATCGGTTACATCACCACTTTGCAATGTGAATCGCCCTATGTGTTCTAGAGTAGACACCTCTCCTAAATCGGTAAACAGTGAGAATTCTGGCACTTTGTACCCTCTAGGCCATGGATATGCTTGGTCTACCCAATCAGGATATGGCTTTGTGTACGTCGGCCTAATGACAGGACGCACCCCAAAAGCCATCTGATCCTGTACGATTTCCATAATCTGGTTCCTCAACATGACATTGGGATCATATGGAATTCCTATAGGCTTATTAACAGGTTGATTTGCATGAGGCCTGATGTTTGGTCCTTGATTGGGAACAAAATTACCATAATTAGGGCCATTACCATTAGCCTGGACATCTATTCCCTCATTACCACGTGGAATATTCTGTCCATTGTTTAGGACATTATCTCTCACGTTTGGATTACCCCCCAAGTTAGGCATACTATTACCATTGTTCTGATTTGGCACTGTAGTACCTCCTTGGTTTGAAATAGAGGGACCAGAAAGCGGTTCTACCCCTTGACTCGGATTTAGGACCGAGGGATTGTCCCACAATTGTCCTAGTTTGAAAATGGTTTGTAAGAGGTATAGCAGGTTGACATATTTGGCCTACTAACTTATTCATTGTTTCGTTCAATGTCTTTAGTTGTTTGGCCATATTGTCATAGTGTACATTCCCATTTTGTGTAAATCTTTCCATATTATAAATACTTCGAAGATTTACCTGTTCAACGACGTCTTGCGTGAGTTCTCCAAGTAATGCACGCATGATTCGAGAACTCAACTCCGTCATTGGTTCGTAACGACTGTTATTGCTCTGGTTCTGTCCATCTGTTTGTGGAGAGGCATGCTGCTCCTCATATCGCTCGATCACAGACTAGATTCCTCCCTGACTTGCTGCTTCCTTGTCGGATCTCTGAGGCATATTGTTTCACCTTTTGTACTTTCAACACCTAACACCACTGTTCCACTGGGCGTGCCAAATTGTTTCGCGCGGGTTAGTCGCTAACAATTAAAAAGGATCAGACGATTGTGTAAGGGACAAAACCTCTTGAGACAAAGTCCCAAAAAAGAGGTGTTCTTTTATTGGCGATGAATTTTACAATTGGAAATGAAAAACAACGTGCCTCCAAGGGGCGCAAGCACACGAGTTACTGAAAGAAAAATGTTTAAGTCTAAAAACTAAGGAAATGAAAATTACATGTTCTCTGTTCGAGAGTTTTGGATTCGGTCATTTGCTTCTATGTCCTTTCTCCTTTTTATACTTCATGGACGATCTCTTTGTGATCAACCGCTCTAAAAACTGTTTGATCGTCCTATAACTACCCACTTTTTTCGTAATGGTCATCTTGTCATGAAAACTGCCTTTTTAACTGCCGCCATTACCCTTCATCGTTCAACCGCTTTCGATTGAATTCCTTGAATCGTGGAACGTGATAGGGCTGCTTTAATAACTGCACTTCTTGATAACCACGACGCTTTATGTTTGTTAAGACCTTAGGCGACTTAAAGGTTTGGACGAGAATAGAGTGACAGCTCTGGGCGACTGTATGACATTCCATTCACTCAGATTCTGGGCGACTTGCAAACTTGGGCGATGGCGTTACCGCGTTCTTGGGCCTCCTTATTTGGGCCTTCATCTTGATTTGTTTGATTGGGTTTCGTTATTTGGACTATCTGATTTGAGAATCCTCCAATTGGGCTTCACTTCTTGAACTGTTCGATTTGGGCTGCATTTTTATGTGTTAACAATATCTAATTATTGAATATTATTACCATTTCCTCAATTTGTTAAAAACACCTCCTATTTTCCTTAAAAATGATGATAAATATTTTAGTTCTGTTTGATAAAAAAAAAACTTAAATTTGAAATTAATTTTAAATGGGACGGGTCCTATGTTTCTCATACCCTCTTCGGGCCATCCCCATCCCAATTAGGTGAATAATCCCTGTCCCATTCGGAGCGGGCCCCCGAGTATCAAGTTGAACGAATTTTTTTTGTCATCCCTAAATATCGAGTGGATATAGCGCCCAACGAAGGATTCCTAAGGACCAGAAGGTATCCTCTTTTTTGACTGTTAGCTCTCCATGCCTCGAGTGCTTTTGTTAATTAACCTCTGTAAAACTTGCAGCATTTTATTCTTGACAAATCTAATTGTTCTGATCCTATTCTAGAAATTGTATATGGGGGATTGGAGAATCCCAAGCTGACATATAGTAGTTACGTAAAGTTGCAAGCTGGCGTTAACAAAATTTCTTTACTTAGCCCTTGTTTGAGTTCCACTCTTTTGATAAGAATGAATAATGTATTGATGGAAAATGTGTAATTAAAAAATAAGAAAAAAAATTTGGATTTTCATTTAATATTATTTTATTAAAAAATATGTAGTTAAAATGATATTAAAATATTGCTTAAAAATGTATTTTTTGTAAAGAATGGGAATTAAATGGAGCTTTATTTTTCTTTTTTCCGTTGGTCTTCCAGTATGTGTTTCCTCTTTTGTCTGTGCAATCATGCATAATGGACTTGAGTGGAGCTGTCAACATATCGACCGTGCATTATGAGAAATGGAGTTGTCAAAGCAGAGATGGTCATGGTTCCTGATTTACCTGTTATCCTTTTTTACTTCTTCATTACAGAAGTACTATACTTCCATCACTCGATTGGTAACATCAACAGTCAACTATTTGACAATGGCAAGGCACAAAAAGAAAATAACCTTTTCATTATGTCATCTAATCCTATAAAATCCTGTAAAGAAGTTTCTCAGTTAATAAGCGGCTAAAAGAAGGATCACTCTTGGCTCAAAACGGGCCTCTGTATTGGTACAAGGTGAATTCTATCTCTATAACCTTTACAACTTCAAATACGACAATTCACGCCGCTCGAGGAAATGATTCAGTAGTCATAAATATGAGTAGCAAGGGAAAAGCTGAAATGTGGGTAAATGGTCAAGGAATATGTCGACATGGTTTGGTTATATAGCAAAAGGAAGCTATAGCTCCTGTAGTTCTGGCGGTACCTACCATGAGAATAAATGCTAAACTGATCATGAGCAGCCCTCTCACAGATGGTAAGATTGAGATCTAAATATTTCAATGTCGGGTACCAAATTCGAGGCTGAAACCAAGAGGAAACAATTTAGTCGTGTTTGAAGAATGGGGAAGTAGCCGAACCAACATTTCTTTGGCTGCTAGAACTGCATAATATTATGAAATGTCAATTGCAGAAAAGAATACCCAATTTTTTCAAGAGTAAACACAAAATCAAAGCGCCATCACCATGGATAGGAAAATAGGACAATTGACAAGGTTTGTCGATGGTTAACTATTAATTAAAATGCATTTACAAATTACGACAATCATAATGGCATCGAAACAACAATAATTTACGTTTGAAGATGAGGACTAACCTTCTGTAAGCTGGATATGCAGGGATTTTTAGTATCTTTTGCATATTTATATTTGTATTGTATTACAGTCTTCTTTCCTGGGACTGAAGTTTTGTCAAGCCAGCAGAATTCTTTGATTTCTTAGTTCTTCCAAATATTGTACTGTAAATCAGTACGTTTGGTTCGGCTTTCACAAAAGTTTACAGGCACGGCGGTGAAAAACTAAAAGCATCGACTAAGTCATTCAGATCCTTATTTTTCAGAAAAACATCTTTCCCTTGACATCTCCATCTGATCAGTCTAGTGAGAAGGTCGCTCCTCATTTGAAGACCATCATCTTCATCGATTTTCAGTTGAAGTAGCCTCTTGATACACTTGACCAGATAGTTCCCAGTCTTTGATTTCACTTGGCAGATTAAATCCAATCCATTCTCTTCAGTCTCAATAGAATGTGACAAAGTCTCAGTTACATCTATTATTTCAAAGGCAACTCGGGTCCCTGCAATAGCCTCTGTTCTAGTATAATTTTCAGTCAATGGAACCGAACCCTCTTGCCAATTGCATTTCTGGCTTCTTAGCTTCAATCCAGTATTTTGTGTTTCAGCAAATTGAGAGACATTTCCAGTAGCAGCATAATGCAAAAACAGTTCACATCCTGCCGGAGTTAAATGATTACAGTAACCGATCAAGATGCCTAACGGAATCCTTCCAAATAACAGGTTTCGTAGAATGCTGAACTCTTTGCATGTTTGCACTTTACTGGAAGCTGAAACGCCAAGAGCTTCTTTACAATACCTAATGTATGTGTCTTGAAATTCCTGGATCCATAGCCAAACCTCACCAATATCCAGCACATCGGATGCTTTATTGTGTAAATCAGGTCTCCCATTTTCCTTCCTGTCGGTTGTCTCATTGCACATACTAGGGTGGAACCAATTGCAAGTCCACGACTCTGATACTTTAGTCAAATAATTAACTAAGAGACCCTGATGAGATTCACTGATAGGGTTCAAAATCCATGCAATATACCTTGCAGCTTTGGCAGAACAAGGCCTTTCTGCATTCTGCCATGAATAAGTTGATGTGAATATAAGTTCGGAAAGGGAATTACTGAGAGAAGTCTTGTCAGAGAAGAGCAAGACAGATGCAAAAAAGAACCAATCCAGGAAGTTCAATGTCAAGCACCTGTTTTGTGACAGTAAAGATAAATAAATCATTTGAAACAAACTGTGGTCAGCACAAATTTTGTGCTTGTTATGTCACAATAAGAACATACCATATGGATTTTAAGTCCACCATTTTGATCATTGTTGCAGCATTCTTTGAAGTCGCGTCCCAATGACCTCTAGAATGAGAAAGAGATCCATTAATTTTATAAACTAAATGATGAAAATTTTCCAGTGACTTGGGTCCAGCTAAAATCTGCAACAACTTATGCTCATAAGGAAAATAAGCATGAGAAAAGGGGAGTTTTGATCCAACTTCCATGGATATGCCCCACCACATCGGTCTGGAAATTATATCTAGCACTTGTGCAACAAGATGGGTCAGAAGCTCTAGCACAGAAGTCATACCCCTGTTATGTCAAGCCAACCAACCCTATCAATCAAGTGAAACAAGGTCACTAAACAGAAAAGTTGCACCTAATAAAACCAATGGAGCTTTATTTTTCTTTTTTCCGTTGGTCTTCCAGTATGTGTTTCCTCTTTTGTCTGTGCAATCATGCATAATGGACTTGAGTGGAGCTGTCAACATATCGACCGTGCATTATGAGAAATGGAGTTGTCAAAGCAGAGATGGTCATGGCCATAGTAAATATCTGATGCATTTCCTAATAAAACCTTATCTTTTACTTGGAATCCATCCAAATTAAAGTGAAAGTAAGCAACATTGATTGAATAAAAAACAAAACATGTAAATTGAAACTAAGAACTTACGTTAGAAGAAACCAGTTGTGTAACAAGGCCCTTGTCTCAATAAACAATGAAGGAGATATGACCAGGCATATTAATCTTGAACGCCATTCAATCCTTTCATAGATTTCTTTGCTCAAACAAAGAAAAGGTCTTCTAATAACCTCTTGCAAAATTTGTGACACATCTTGCTTCAAAATCATTGGATCAAGATACCACAAGAGCAACCTGCAAAAAAAATGCATTTGAGCTTCATAAAAGATGAATAAGGATTAATCAGACAAGATCATGAAAATGAAATGCTGAATAGTAACACTCATTAACTGCAAAATAAATAAATGATACACATTGATGAAGGTTATTGATAAGAAAACCAGTGTAATTTGTGTAATAGCCAATCGGATGGTTACTAGCATATTCATACAAAAAAAGGAATAAGTGATATAACAGTTAAAAACTAGAGGCAAGAGAAAAGCTAAATACAAGAGGCCTCCTCGGCTAAAATAAAGTTTTTCAGAGTTAAGTATAATAGTTATCATCTAATTAATTTTTGATTAACCAGTAGTAAGTCATTGCACATCTGGAACATTTTTACTCATTGTCATTTTATACATATCACAGAATCTGTATTTTGGATAGCAGCTCTTTATTATTGCCGCTGATGCATTTCTAGAGGTTTGATGGTTTGTTTTGTAGCAATATATATTTCTCTGTACATCAGAATGAAAAAATAACAATTTCTCTCATTCTCTGTTTTCATTATATGATATCAGAGATCTCAAGTTTTAAAACCTAGCAATGGCATCCCGTGACTGAAGATTTAAACAGCCAACACCAACCCAATCAACCCACTAAACCCAGCTGCAATCATGATTACTATACCATCCTCTCAGATAATCAAGCCCATTAACCTCACAAATCAGCTCACCGCTATGTGGATGATGGAAGCATTTTAAACTGGAGAAGCAAGTACTCGCTGTAAATCATGGTGGGTTTGGACTAGAGGGTTTCATTAATGGATCAGCAATGCACTTCAGACCTCATTTCCACCACTGACGGTAAAACTGGGTCGGTGAGCCCTGATTATGTTTTGCGTAATAGATAAGATCGGTTAATATTTTCTTCTCTCTTAGCATCCATGACTGAAGTTTATCAATCCCAAATGGTGGTCTGCAACACTGATAGTGACATCTGGTGTGTGGTTGAACTGTTTGCTTCAAGATCTACAGCAAAGGTGATGCAACATAAGTTCCAGCTCCAGATCCAGATCCAGAAGAAAGGTGGAGTACCTCTTGAAACCTACCTGATGCTCTTACCTAAGCAGGTCATAGGATTTCTAAAGACAATTAAATTTTTCATACTCTAGCTGGGCTTGGAATAGAGTATGATATAATAAAGGCACAATCAGAGGAAGGAAAACAGTATTTTAACCGAATGCGTACTTTGAACTTTGTTAATATATAGATATGTCATAAAGCTAAATCAGAATCTGAACAACTATTAAGATATCTATTCTGTTGGTTCTGTCAAGCAAAGAAATCAAATATGGGAGGAAGGATAAACAAGAAAACCAATCTTGTAGAAATAATAGTTAAGAAGAGAATATGAGCTATGGATATCAACTGAAAAGTTACTAGACAACACTTCTATGTAAAACTCCACGTCGCACCTTAATGGTACTTCTCCATTCTTAACGTTGATTTCATTTGGCAAATGGCAAGTTAACCTGGCAAGCAAAGACGTCTTGCCGCTAAAGTTTGTATCAAGAGCAGGAGTTGATTGTAAGTCCAGTGACTTGGGTCCAGCTAAAATCTGCAACAACTTATGCTCATAGGGAAAATAAGCATGAGAAAAGGGGAGTTTTGATCCAACTTCCATGGATATGCCCCACCACATCGGTCTGGAAATTATATCTAGCACTTGTGCAACAAGATGGGTCAGAAGCTCTAGCACAGAAGTCATACCCCTGTTATGTCAAGCCAACCAACCCTATCAATCAAGTGAAACAAGGTCACTAAACAGAAAAGTTGCACCTAATAAAACCATAATCCTCTATAAAATGAGCAGCACGCTTTCAGATTCTGACATCCATAGTAAATATCTGATGCATTTCCTAATAAAACCTTATCTTTTACTTGGAATCCATCCAAATTAAAGTGAAAGTAAGCAACATTGATTGAATAAAAAACAAAACATGTAAATTGAAACTAAGAACTTACGTTAGAAGAAACCAGTTGTGTAACAAGGCCCTTGTCTCAATAAACAATGAAGGAGATATGACCAGGCATATTAATCTTGAACGCCATTCAATCCTTTCATAGATTTCTTTGCTCAAACAAAGAAAAGGTCTTCTAATAACCTCTTGCAAAATTTGTGACACATCTTGCTTCAAAATCATTGGATCAAGATACCACAAGAGCAACCTGCAAAAAAAATGCATTTGAGCTTCATAAAAGATGAATAAGGATTAATCAGACAAGATCATGAAAATGAAATGCTGAATAGTAACACTCATTAACTGCAAAATAAATAAATGATACACATTGATGAAGGTTATTGATAAGAAAACCAGTGTAATTTGTGTAATAGCCAATCGGATGGTTACTAGCATATTCATACAAAAAANGAACAATTTCTCATTGTGGAAAATGAGAATAAAAACAGTTTTGAGAAAAGATAGCTGCTTGGTGGCAATTGGACATAAGCGCATAGAGATCACTGACGATGCTAGGTGGAACGAGATGGATAGCAACGTAACTGCTAATCTGCATCTAGCACTAGTAGATGGAGTGTTGTCAAGTGTAGAGAAGAAAAAGACAATGAAAGAAATATGGGATATGTTAACAAAGCTGTACAAGGCCAAATCGTTACACAACAAAATCTTTTTGAAGAGAAGGCTTTACACCCATCGAACAATGGAGTCAACTACGGTGATCAACCACATTAACATTCTTAACACTATTTTCACAACTCACATCAATGGGGCATAATACAGAGGCGGGTGAACGTGCTTAAATCTTACTTCAAAGTCTACTAGATTCGTATGATCAACTCATCATCAACTTAACCAACAACCTTGAAACTCTAGTTTTTGATGATGTTGCAGCTGCTGTTCTTGAAGAAGAAAGTTTGTGCAAGAATAAGGAGGACAGATCGATAAGTTTGAATCAAGCAGAAGCTTTGACGACGATAAGAGGGAGATCAATGGAATGTGGCTCTAGTGAGAGTCATAATCAGAGTATATCAAAATCCATGAAAGAAGAATGTCAAGTGTTATTACTGTGGTAAGAAAGAGCACTTAAAAAGGGATTGTTGGAGTCTCAAAAAGAATGAAGAAGCCAAAAGAAAAGGTCCTGAGACGTCAAAAGCTCAAGGTTGTGTAGTAAGCACCTCAGATGATGGTGAAATTTTATATAGCGAGGCAACAACAGTTGTTGAAGGCAGGAAGAAATTTTCTGATGTCTAGCTTATAGACTCAAGAGCTACATGGCACATGACACCAAGGAAGAACTAGTTCCATCAATATGAGCCTATCCCAGGAGGATCTGTGTTTATGAGAAATGATCATACCTTGGAGATCCCTAGTATTGGTATTATCAAATTGACAATGTATGATGGTACAATTCACACTATCCATGAAGTACGACACGTAAAGCTTGAAGAAAAATCAATTGTCTTTTAGATAACATTGACTGCAAGACCCATTTACAAGATGGGGTCATGAAGATAATCAAAGGCTCGCTTGTAGTGATGAAAGCAGAAAAGATAGCTGCAAATTTGTACATGCTTAAAGGTGAGACAACAAGAAGGAGAAACATCTGTTGTATTGATAGGTTCAGCAGAAGAATTAACGATGATGTGACATCGCAAGCTTGGCCACTTGTCAAAATGTGGTTTGAAAATTCTCTCAAAACAAAAGCTTCTTCCAGGGCTCAAAAAGGTTGCATTACCCTTTTGTGAGTACAACGTTACTAATAAGCAGCACAGATTGAAGTTCAACAGTGTCACTACTAGAAGTAAAGTTATCTTGGAACTAGTCCATTCTAATATTTGGCAAGCACCAGTTATATCCCTAAGAAGTGCAAAATACTTTGTATCTTTCATTGATGATTACTCAAGGAGATGTTGGGGGTATCCAATCAAGAAAAATGCCGATGTGTTCGCACTCTTCAAAATATTCAAAGCGCGTGTGAAGCTTGAATCTAAAAAGAAGATCAAGTGTCTAAGGACTGACAATGGAGGAGAATATGCTGATGATGAATTTGATAAATTTTGTCAAAACAAGAAGATATCAAGAGACAGTTCACGACGGCATACACTCCACAGCAAAATGAAGTAGCAGAGCGGATGAACAGAACATTGTTAGAAAGAACAAAGGCAATGTTGAGAACTGCGGGGCTAGCCAAGTCATTCTGGGCAAAAGCAGTCAAAATCACCTGTTATGTGGTCAATCAGTCGCCATGAACCGCAATTTATCTTAAGACACCTATGGAAATGTGGACCGATAAACCAGCTGATTATTCTCGCTTACATATATTTCGAAGTCTTGTGTACGTTATTTACAACACCCGAGAAACATCAAAATTGGATCTAAAATCTAAAAATGTATTTTCTTGGGGTATGCTGATGGAATCAAGGGGTACTACCTGTGGGATCCCACTGCCATCAAGGTGATAATCAGCAAAGATGTGATATTTGCAAAAGGCAAGGTACAAGAAAAAGAAAATGATAGCACTTCAAAAGAAAAATCAGAAACTACTATAGTCAAAGTTGGAAAGGAACGAGAAGTTATAGATTCTTCTGAAACAACACTACAGCACGAAGAATGAGAACAAGAACAAGTTGAATCTAATGCTCCAAATATTTGACGATCAACACGAGAGAGAAGAGAACCGGCTTGGCACTCATATTACATTATGGAGGGCAACGTTGTGTACTTCTTACTGACAGAAGAGGGAGAGCCATCAACTTTCCATGAGGCTATAAATAGCCAAGAAATTTCTTTGTGGATGGCAACAATGTAAGAAGAAATCGAAACTCTTCATAAGAACAAGACATGGGATCTTGTTCCACTACCACAAGGAAGGTCATTGAGAATAAATGGGTCTACAAGATCAAACGAGATGGCAATGACCAAGTGGAGCGATATCGTGCGAGACTGGTGGTGAAGGGATATGCTCAGAAAGAAGGCATTGACTTCAATGAAATATTTTATCATGTGGTTCGACTCACAACAATTCGAGTAGTCTTAGCGATGTGTGCTACATTTCACTAACAGTTGGAGCAGTTAGATATGAAAACTGCATTTTTTCATGGAGAACTTGAAGAAGAGATTTATATGCTCCAACTTAAAGGTTTTGAAAAAAAAGGAAAAGAGAACTTGGTTTGCAGGTTGAACAAATCTCTATATGGTCTCAAACGGGCGCCGAGATGTTAGTATAAGAAATTTGATTCCTTCATATGAGCCTTGGATACAACAGACTCAGTTCAGATCCGTGTGCATAATACATGAGATTTGGAGATAATGATTTCATTATTCTGCTGTTGTATGTTGACGACATATTGGTAGCAAGCCCCAACAAAGATCTTATTGAAGACTTAAAGGCACGATTGGCAAGGGAGTTTGAAATGAAGGACTTGGGACCGACAAACAAGATTTTGTGACAGAAATAATGGGATGATTTGGCTTAGTCAGAAGAATTACTTGAAGAAAAAAAATCTTGCATCGCTTCAATATGCAAGATTGTAAGCGAATTTCTACCCCATTTTCTATTAATTTCAAGTTATCCTCAAGTATGAGTCCTAGCAATGAAGCAGAGAGGATTGAGATATCTCGAGTACCGTATACATCTGCAGTGGGTAGCTTGATGTTTGCTATAATCTGTATAAGACCGGACATTGCACAAACAGTGGGAGTTGTTAGTCATTACATAACAAATCCGAGTAAAGAGCATTGGAGTACTGTAAGGAGGATCTTGAGATATATCAAGGATACCTCAAATGCTACATTATGTTATGGAAAATCATATTTTATTGTCAGAGGCTATATTGATTCAAATTATACAGGTGATCTTGACAAAAGCAAGTCCACCATAGGATATGTGTTTACTCTTACTGGAGGAGCTGTAAGTTGGGTTTTGAAACTGCAGTCTATCGTGGCTACATCTACGACAGAGCAGAATGCGCGGCAACTACACAAGCTAGCAAACAGGCAATCTGGAGGAACTCGGACACAAACAAGAGAAGATTTTTCTATTTCCACTTGGCAAAGAATCCAACATTTCATTATAAGACAAAGCACATTCGAGTTCAATATCACTTTGTTCGAGAAAAGGCGGAAGAAGGAAGTGTGGATATACAGAAAATCCATTTAGTAGACAACGTAGCAGATATGTTGACAAAGTCAATTAGTACTAATAAGTTCATATGGTGTCGATCCTCCATCGGCCTAGCAACAACATAAGTGCCATGAAAGTAGCAAGTGTAGGAAAGATTGAAGTGATCACAAAAGTGACTTTAAATTGGAGAAATGTTGGCTACTAAAGCCACTATTGTTGACCAAAAAGGAAATAAATTTCTTCCATGCATTAAATGGCCAAATTTGCATTAAAAGCACAAATGGATAAGACCACTTTCTTAACAATTAAGAAAGATGCATGCGTGCAAAAGTTGGCAAATTGAAGTTTTCTTCTCCTGCCACTTGACAGTCGAAATTGTAGAAAGTTGGCAGCCCTTTTTCTTGACATTTTGAAGCAATTAAAGGCGGGGAATTTAGAGCATATGTCTAGCTAATTTACAGCCCACAATGTTGAAATTATGGCTCAGTAATTGATGAGGAAAGGCGGCCAAATTTGCTATAAAATAGCAAATATAGGGCGAGAGTTGAAGAGAAAATACAAGAAAATTGAGAGGAATTAAAAGTAGAGAGTAGAGAGAAAACTATGAGTAGGGAGATAAAAGCACAGAGAGAAAAATTATTGTTCTCTTCTAAGTATTTCCTACTTGTTTTCTCCTATTATAGGAGAGATTAATTGTTATTATCTCCTTGTATTTAGAGAGTGTGTTATAATTCTCTTACTATCGTGAAATCCTCCTATACTTGCCCGTGAACGTAGTTTAAAATGGGTGAACCACGTAAATACTCGTGTCCATTTTTAGCTGCAATTTCTCAATTTCGACTGTCAAGTGATTGGAGAAGAAAAGTTCAAGTTGTCAACTTTTACATGCATGCATCTTTCTTAATTGTTAAGAAAGTGGTATTATCCATTTGTGCATTTAATGCAAAGTTGGTCATTTAATGCATGGAGGGAATTTATTTCCATTTTGGTCAACAATAGTGACTTTAGTAGCCAACACCAGTAACCCAACACCATGAATCACTAGTGATCTTCTTCAAGTACATTTTTCTTAAATCAAAATTTTCCCAAACTAGTTCTACAAAATAAATTTTCAAATTGAATCTAATATCCCTCCTTGAGTCACACAATTGCTACATCCAATCTTGTACCTACAGCTTAGCCCGCACTTCTCGAGTCAGTAACAACTCGTCCAAATCAAGAAATAAAGTCTTGCAAACAAATGATTGGGGTAAGCCCAAAACTTCTACAGCTCCTTCCTGATTTCCCTCCCTCCATTTCTCTTTGGTCGAGGCAAAATTTTCACAACCCACAAGCAAAATACTTTCAAGACAACCATTTTTATCAAATCTACAATTTCAATGATTCTAATTTTAGTGATTCTAATTCCATCGGCAAAATAGGGTCTGGCATGTTTTTATAGGCATTTTAAAGAAAATCACAAAGGAATAATAGAAGATCGTGATGGCTATGGCGACTAGGTTGGGTGGTAATGGTGGTTGGGTGGCGATTGCATTGCGACGACATTGTGGGCCATCCTCGGTGGCCGATGGAATGGCCAATTTTATAATCTTCAGTTTTGGAGTGTGTGATGGGATAAGAGATACATATTTATTTTATTTTCCTTTCTTTTTTAATTAAATTATTTAATTTAGTAAATACAAAGTTACTATTTTGTCTTTTATAAAAATATTAAAAATGTTGTCAAACTCAAATTTTTTGTCAATTAGCAGTAAATTAGATATTTTTCATCCATTGGGCCTCACCTGACGTTTGGAAGGGTTAGCTGTGACGATTGCAACAAATCAAATGTTTGGAAAAAGTCTGTTTTGAAAGATTTGGGCCTCAGCTGCAATTATCCCTATTAGATAAGAACCTCACCCCCAACCAAGCTCATCCTCAAACCGAATGTAAAGCAGTCAGCTTGGCATTATAAAGAAAAATTTTGGCATCACGAGCACTGCATCCTCATAATATAAGTTCGAAAACTAAAAAACAGAGAGAGAGCAAGTATGATGACCTTTATGCCCGTGTAAATTTTCCAATACCTCAGCACACGCTTCAACAATTTTCACACAATCTCGACTGGAAATCGATCCACCGACTCTCAAAACCTCCTCCTCATTAATTCTGAACAACTTGCAGCCGATTGACGACGTTAGAACAGTAGCAATCGTTCTCCCAGTGTATTCAATCACTGAATCATAAACCTAAAAAGGCCCAACAACATCCAAAACCACAGAATAAAAATTGCATTACTTCATCTAATTGTATATCTATAAAATTTGAGGGTTCAGAGCAGACCTGTGGACCAGTGTAGCACATGAGAGAAAGTGCAGCATCCAGAACTCGAACCCCAGGGGTTTCGCTCAAGTTGAGTGAACGATTCAGATTTGAGATTGAGAGGGCGAGATTTGGATCATCATTTCCATTCATTGGATCTAGATTTTGGAGAGACGACGCCATGGTCGCAAACAAAGAGGATAATTCGGGGAAACTCGACATTTCGAAAGCCGTGGGGGGACGGGGGTATGGGATTTCCCGCCAGAGGGGTTCGGGGTTAGAATGACTGATTTCTATCTGAAAACCAAAATGCTTATTTTAAGGTTTATTTATAAATCAAGCCCACGCAACTAGTTAATCCAAAAACGTAATTATAAACATGCTGGTCAATTTATTTCAATTTTTGGAACAAATCGACAAGAACTACTATTTACATATTAAAGTTAAATCGAAAATATTAGCCGGAATATATTCGTTTAGAGCTAACTGAAAATCATATTGAAGTGAATTGTTGACTTTGATTGATATTAAAATTTAGACTTTAACTAAGGGCTAAAAAGATCAAATTTCTCAAGTCGTACTCTCTCCCATTGCCAAAGCAGCAAAACCAAAATCCTTGCGCGGCTCTGACCACCGTTAGCTACTCCTCTAGCTTCAAAGCATATCCATGACTTCGAGAACTGTAATAAGAGACATAATCACTCTTCGCATATCAATTGCCATAGTCGGTGAATTCTTCGGTTTTGTGTCTCGCATTCTCTCTTCTTCTTCTTTTTTTCTTTTTTTCTTTTTAATTTGTATTGTGGGTTTCAAGAATGTGGACTAATTTCTGTACTTTTATGGATCCCCTTTCCAAATTATGCTTGACAGGTATAATGCAATTTTTTGTAATTTTGAATGTAGTTTATGAATGAGGTTTGATTTAATTTTGAACTTTTTCAGTATTCTGTACAATCTTAGTTTTTTTAGAAGAACTAGTTTTTGACACGTGCGTTGCACGAGTTTTGTATTTATTGTATTTTTATTAGCGTCAAAATTGTAGATTTTTTACTTATAAATAACTTCTTACATTTTATAAATATTTTTTGTCTGTATTTTTATTTGTTAATAATTTCTTACATAAAAGTGATTGTTAAAAATAAAATAGTGATAGCAAAAAATTATCAACAAATAAAAATATTACTAATAAAAAAATTCAAAGAAAAAAATTAGTCTCCATGCTTGGAAGTTTCAATCCTCTATAATACGAAAGCTTGATCTCTCCATAACAAGAGACTTGATCCCTCATAACAAGCCTCAATATTACAGAGGAAAATCTTCTGTGATACGGAAGTTTGATCTCATGGAGAGATCAAGTCTCCATAATAAATATGGAGTAATTCCTTTGATATATATTTTTTATTTAAATGATCTTTTATTAATAGATCATTTATTTAACACATAAGTTAATATTTAATTTTAAAATTTAAATATATTTAAATATTTACTCCAAATT